GTCAGCAACTATAACAGTATGGACGAACTTTTCTGCTCCAATTCCTAATTGTACCTGGATTTCTCCATGAATGTTGGCATTTTCCCCTGTGGCGGTCCGAAGTCGCAACCTCGTTGGTAACAGTTTCTTTCGGCTGTTTATAACTGTCGGGCGTATAATGGTTCTGGTCGCTCCAGTATCCACCAACAACGTATGCTTTTTACCATTTATTTCTCCATCTACATATACACTATCTTCACGACATTTCAAAGAAGCTATTAGTATCAGAGGGTCTTTGGTAAAGTTCTGGGTCGAAGCTGCTCCCCTAAGGCCGACGCGTTCTGGTTTTGTCTTCGGTCTTATGGTCTTCGTTTTCTTGTGTGTCATGGTAATTGGATTGTTTACTCTCTCTGTTGTGTCTGTTCCCTCAATCTTCCTTTCCAACTCTTTCCATATCTTCTCTTCGAAGGCCATCATATCGGCAGCAACTTGGTTTTTTAATGAAGACACTCTATCGTCGAGGGCAGACATCTCAGAGGTGACTTTAGAGATGTTAGCAGAAACCTTGCTTTCCAGAGAAGCAATCTCGTTAGAAACTTTGCTTTCTAAGGATGAGATCTCGTTAGAAACTTTATTCTCCAATGATGCGATATCACAGGAAACCTTGTTAATCGATGAGATGACAGCATCTTCAAATATATAAGTTTCCGGATCTAAACCTTCTTCTTCCAAAGCCTTCTTTAGTCGTTGGACTAACTCAGCTTTTTTTCCGGTAGAAGCTAATTCTCTATCCTCAAGATGCCTTCTTAGATTCGTAACTGTGAGCTCGTAAATCGTAGCCATTGTTCACCAATTTCACTTCTTTTCAAAAATTCAAATTAAATTTATCTACAGTCCCACTTCTGCACCACTGTAACGTCTTTTTATTGCTCTAATTTATTTGTCTTTATTCTAATTTATTGTCTATATTCTAATTTATTAAAACTCACGATAACTAATTACGAATTTATTAAAGTCTTTATTAATTCTAATTTATATTACAAATGTATTCATTTCACGTTTCGTTACATTTTAAATATCGCGTTTACCGATCTTCTTATGACTGACTGCCAAATAAAAATCTTTCATTTATATACACAACTGTTGTCATCCAGAGAATTCGGCGGACTTCTTGAATAGTCTCGTATTTTGGTGAAGGCGCTCGACTCGTTTTTTCAACCTCGAGACGTGGATGACTCACCAAAATTAGTGTCTAGAGATTTCTGGTAAACAACTGGTAGCTAAGCTCAGGTATATTTTGACCTACAAATTACGAGAATCAATAAAAAGAATTAGTCATAAAATATTTACAGTTCTATATGCCATAACATTTAAAATCGTAACATTACAACCACTACCAAAAGTTTGTATACGAACTGTACAAAGATTGATTATTAGCCCCTCTATCGACCGGGCTACAAAACTTCTTCTTTTTTACATTCCGACACCGTTTTTGTTAACGTTATAAACGTCTATATTCGTTGGGATCATCGAATAAAGTAATTAAAAATTCTTTATCAATTCAAATTAATTACTTTTCTAAGTTTTCTTGCTTTTAACTCTTGTACAATCAAAGTTATTAGTGTGATTTACATGGACAAAGTTTTTGGTTTATTAAATTAAGAAGCATTATACAAATTTATGTGTTTTAGTTAATTTAACACTGTTAAGATAGTTTTGGACAAAATAGTTGAGCTGAGCTATGCCCCCGCGGGATTTTTCCCACGAGAAGGATACGTTTTCCTCTTAATGAAGCGGGGCAGTTTATACACGTTGATATTCTTTTTCATTAACAAAAATTTGTGTGTGAATGAACGTTCATTCTCAACATCCATCCAAGATGAAAACAAATTTAGTTTTGGGCCTTGAAAGCTAGGGTTACTAACTTGTCACACATCGATTTCAGGGAAAAGGGACTAAAAAAGTTGAAATCTATACTACTAGAGAACTCCTACCCCATAGAACTTTTAAATAAACTCATTTTCGGTTCTCCTTTCCCATCACAATTTTCTAACAACCAAAATTTTCATAACAATGAGGTCCGACAATTGACATTGACAGAAAACACATCAGTAATACCATCTAAAATAACTTAAGTCTCCTTACCTTATTATATATGTAAACAAATGGAATATTTCAATACTTACAGCTATAAGAGTAAAAATTTAAATTTTGATAACATCTACTTAAATGACATTTTTTTTGTTTGATTTTAATTTATTTGGGAGTTATATGCTAACCGCAATATTTTATAGAGTGAATTCCCATTGTACAATTTTTAGTGAATAAGTTAAAATAAACAATTATTATGACAGTATTATCCACCTTCTAAGGTATCACACACACACACATACATCACATCAAATCAGTAAAAAAGATTTCAAAGCAACATGGACAGTCAGTATATTCTAGAATTAGAAAAAAAATTTTTTTTCAAAAATTTAAACACACAATGAAAGATTACATTATTGCCGAGGGTCAAATGTCCCTGAAAACCTTTTATTAAGTTACAGGGGTGAAAAAAAAAAAGAATATTGAGTGTAATTTTTATTTCAAATATCTTATTCAAAAGAAACCTTTTGTTTATTCTAAGGGACTTTCGGCCCTCGGTAATAATTTAAGCTTTCAATCTGCGTTTAAATTTTTCAAAAATATTTTTTTTTTCAGAATTCGAAAAAAAAAATGATTGCATTTAAAAAGCAGTGTAAGCAAATTTTGCGCTTACGATCTTAATATAATCTTATTTCGATATTGAAAGACATAATTTATTTTAACATTAAATACATCTTTTGTTAAGAAAATACGAGGTTTTTGGTGGTTTACCTCTTCTTCATATTGAAACTACTTGCAAATCAGTTTTGCCTTTTTCTGGTGTGCAAGTATAGCATGAGCCATAAGAACACTACAATTAGGTTCAAAATCACAATTAGATTGTATTAATAAAATTCCTTATGTTTTGATTTTAGTCGCTTGCTATTTACAATTTTTTGGATTCTTTCAAATAAAAATGTAAACAAAATTCGAAAATCTAAACAGATTAAAATCCTTCTAGATACCTTTATGCTATGCAGGACAGTTATTTGTCAGGTATGTAATACAGCTTAAGCCGCATAAGCATCTTACCCTCTGTCTGGGAAATTTTAAGTAATTGTCAAAAGTTCTTAGGCATTTTGACTCTCTTTAGAATATTTTATAATACTCTGAATAATCTAAAATTCCACTGGTGGAATTAGTCAGTTCAGATGATCGAGCATGGGTTGAGGCCAAAGCTTAAATCCAGTATAAAAATTGTGAAATTATTTATTATCTCTAATGGGGACTAACTAAAATTTCAGTTGAAAAGAATTTATTTTGACGTTTCGATTTCAACTTCGGAAAACTATGTCAGACTGAAAATACTTTTGAAGATTTTATTTCAATTATTAAAAAAAAAATACATATATGTACAAATAACATACCTTTCCTGGCCATTTACACAGACGACTTGTTTTGGGTTAGACGTTAAGTTAGACATTAGCATTAAGATGTAGTTTGCACACGAAACGAGAATTCCTTATTCGACTATCCGTGCGATTTGATTGGTTAGAGACTGTGTTTAAATGCAAGCCAATAAAATATGTGTACATAACTATTCTTTTTGAATATATGAATAAATATATTTGTATTTGCAATGTGTTGATTTTCTTTGAGAAACAGTTTCGGACACATACAATTTTTTTGTCGTGTTCAAGTACGCGTATTAGAAAGAAATGGTATATTTAAAAGATGCTGTAAGAAAAACATATCTAAATTTTATATTCGAATGTGCATACTAGAACATTTATGTATTATATTCGAATTACCAGATGATCTCTTATCTGATGACTGTACTTATATACTTCTACAGGATTTATTAATTATATAATGTAGTCTTTATTTGATTTTCGCGCCATTGACAGATCTGATTGTCACTCAGTTTGAAGTAAAAATAGAAGAAGATAACCATACATTATTATAGGACTTTACTTTACACTGTTATTATGAGTTATGGCCGTCAAAAAGCTATTATGTTGAATTATGTACATTTAAGTGTTTTTTCTGCAAATAAATTTAAGGAAACTAAACCAATATTATTTTATTAACGAAGATTACAATAAATGGGTTAACTTTAACGAAAGTACAAGCTGAATAAGCCGTAAATGTCAACCATGAAATAAAATATTTCGGCTTGGCAGTGTTGGAATGTGTTTTTAATTCATATTATGTTGTATGCTTCAAATATAGAGAAAGCTTTTAAAAAGTACATTTTGGTTATTTATTATGTTATGAATTCTGCAATTTTTAATTTATATAAAACCATAACAAGTAAATATTTGTCCCTTTCAAAATTAATTGCAAAAATCTGGCAACTGGTGGTTTGAGGACTGCCAAATCTATCCGCTAATCTATCAAATGGCAATTGCAAAAAAATTCTAATAAATAGCTGCAATTAATCTTCATAGAAACAATTATTTATTCTTTCTGGTTTTATGTAAATTAAAAATTGCAGAATTCATAACATAATATAATCAAAATGTACTTTAAAAAGTTTTCTCTTTTTATATTTGATGCATACAACATATATATTATAACATCATGCCAACACTGCCAAATCGAAATATTTTGTTCCATGGTTGACATTTGCGGCTATGTTTAGCTTATTATACTTTCGTTAAAGTTAACCTATAATTTTTTTTTAAAAGACTTACTGCAGAAAGGTTTACAAAATTATCCTTATTCTGTCCTTTTTGGTTAGATTAATTTATGCCACTTCTGTTTTTCCTAATATATAACCAAATATCACATTAAAAACAAAACTGCCAGCTGTCGCAATTATTGGAAGCAACCAAGACTAACCCACCCGTATAAATTAAATTTTACACGCTTAAAATACACCCCTTATGTATACAAACCGACGATATTACATCCTGTGTATTGTCGTATCTTATGGTTTCATGTTTCTAATGTTACAGACTGAAATAGCAAAACGCTTAAACGCAATCATCGCCCAAGTGCTGCCCTTCCTCGCCCAAGAACATCAACAACAAGTAGCCACAGCTGTCGAAAGGGCCAAACAAGTCACGATGGCTGAGCTAAATTCTATCATAGGGGTAAGTTGGTCAATATGTTGATAGATAGTAAAGTAGATTTAGTGGTTTAACCAAAACAAAGTTGTGGCATAACTGAGATGTAAGTCTATAAAATCTTATGAATAAAAGTATTTTTTAGTTCACTATTTTCCTGAAAGTGTATTATTACACTTTTAACTGATATAAAGTCATCGTCAAAAGGTTTTTGACGATGACTTTTACACAGTTATTTTAGAAAATGTAATTGTATTTAAATTACTTTTGTACAAACAAAATATTTATCTATTCCACCTGAATATGTTCAAGGACTAACACAGAAACGATAATATGAACTCAAAGAAATTGTATCATTATCTTGTATCTATCACTATCTCGTAGTAAGTTAAATCATGATACTATGAATAACAGGATAGGATCTCCCCGTAGCCCAAAATCGGTCGTGTTCGCGCATGCCGTCATTGGAGAGTAGAATTTGGTTAAATGGGATTTGTATGCATTCTGCGATGAAATTACTGGTCGAAAATAAGTTAAGAAGTTCAATAATTACAATAATTGTACACAAATGGATATCTCCAAACTATTTATTAAAGATTATTTATTGACACATACAAAAAACTGACATTTCGAACGTGCAACTGTCCAATGACGTCACGACTTATGCGCAATATCTTCTTATCATAGTATCATGAGTTAAATGACATTACAGAGCAAGCGTAGTATTCGCGTTCTCAAACGACTATAGGTGGCAGCACTTGTTTTGAAAGATGGCGGACGAAATAGGGATATCGTTTGTTGACATTGTAAATTTGATAGGGAATTACTTATCTTCTGATTACTTTTCTTCGTATCGTTCATTATTTTTAAAATTTGATGAAATTTATACCAGTTTTAAACTCTAATTTATTCAAATTTTTATTAGTTATCTACTTTGACAGCAGTTGGCAGCATGGTCGTTTGAGAACGCGAATACCAAAGTTAACGTTTCGTGTGATTTGTAAACTGTGAAAAAACTGTTGGTCTCAGGGCATAAGGTTCCCTTTTTCGAGCTGGAAAATTGTACGTTCCCTTAAAAAATGTAAGCCTTTATCATCGACCTACTGTCTTAATAATTACAATGTTCGTTAATTAAATGGTGTAATTTAAGGGTCATCTGACCTCATTATGTAGCTAGTTCCTATTACTTTACAGACGTTTTTCACTGATGATGATCTGATACGATCGAAACCGTTCTGAAAATTAATAAATCCGTTTTAAATAATTTTTTACTTCATTGTAAGTTTTTTTAAACTATGGTTTATACCGAACCACTGGGAATTTCCCATTTAAATTACAATATGAAATGTTTTAATATATTTTTAAATCTCTTTCTGAGCGGGTTAATTAAACTGTAATCTTCTAATTACTATTTAACTGGGAATAAGCCACAATTCCTCCACACCCTCAAAATACAAACAGTAAATTAAACAAATTTTGTTTTTTGTTACATAGTGAAAAATTCTAATAATTTAATTTTATCTGACTCATTTATATTGACAATTCAGACATACATTATGCATTTTAAAGCAGACGACTTTAAAATGATATTGCCAATATTGTTGAGTTGCGCTCCTGGGACGACTTTACTTATAAGATAGTTTATTCGATTACATGAAATCAACTTTAACTTGAGAATATCCGTCAGAAAAAAACCATAACATATAATTCGTCTTTAAAAAGACAAACACATGACATGATGACAGTAAAATTCTCCTGTTAGTGATTCCATAGTAAATTATGAGGGAAACACCAGGAAAAAAACCTCATAATACTATCCCGACATGGTAAGTATTTGTTCGTGCATTTAGTTTACCTTCAATAAACACCAACATTCTGATTTTATATGTTTCGTTATTTAAAAAAAACATAAATGATGTATCCTCTATATGTTACTGACTTACTAATACTGGTATTTTCTTATTAATAACTTCCTCTTTCAATATTGGTAACCAGATCCTACTACATTCTGCCGAGGAATTTGCTACACAATTGGCCTCATTTAGCATAATTAAAGCCGCTTCTTTGATTTTTCTTTTTTTACCATCCGTCTCTTTTAGGACTACATTTGAATTATTCCATTGACCCCTATGTTCATTATCCCATGCGTGTTTACATATTTGAGATCTATCAAATTCTTTATTTTTAATATAAGACTGATGTTCACTTATTCTAACATTTAATGGCCTTGATGTTTCACCTAAATAAAACTGATCGCATTCACAATCGATCGAATAGAACAGAACATGTTAGAACGAGATCTTACAGCATACACAAGAAATAATACGAGGAAAATAACAATACTGTACATAAAAGGGTTATCAGAAAAACTTAAAAGGGTAGGCAATAAATTCAACATTTCAACAACATTCAAAACAACAAACACGTTGAGATCTATTTTGTCCAAAACCAAACCTAACAATGAACAAGAAAGGACAAAGAATTGCATTTATAAAATACCTTGTGAATGCGATCAGTTTTATTTAGGTGAAACATCAAGGCCATTAAATGTTAGAATAAGTGAACATCAGTCTTATATTAAAAATAGAGAATTTGATAGATCTCAAATATGTAAACACGCATGGGATAATGAACATAGGGTTCAATGGAATAATTCAAATGTAGTCCTAAAAGAGACGGATGGTAAAAAAAGAAAAATTAAAGAAGCGGCTTTAATTATGCTAAATGAGGCCAATTGTGTAGCAAATTCCTCGTCAGAATGTAGTAGGATCTGGTTACCAATATTGAAAGAGGAAGTTATTAATTAGAAAATACCAGTATTAGTAAGTCAGTAACATATAGAGGATACGGTCCGTCGCAAACCCTTTTTTCAGTGCGTCATAGTTGATCGAATTCTCTCTAACGCATAAAGCTAGAAGTGACAGAAAAAGACGTGAGTCTGTGATTATTATACATAGAACATAGAAAACTATGTATCGTTCACGAGTATTTGCATATTAAAGCGAATTCTACTTACGGATGTATAATTGGTTGGAGTTTAGAATACACTAAATAGATATCCAATCAATGATGCGCATAAATATAATTTGACGCAGATTATCTTGATCATGACAATACTTTCACAATGTCAACTGATAAAATGATAATTGTCATTCCAGGTTAGTATTTTCAGACATTTTACAGTGAAAATTTAATTTTGTATTTATTGTTATAAAAATATTTTAAATATGTCAAGATATACCGAGAAAGAACAAAGACTACATACCTATTTAAAAAAATAACCTTTTCACATTTAGTCGATTACGATCCTGCAACTGTCAGATTTAACTAAAATGTCAAGCAATAATTTTCGACATTCATAAAATCCTATATGACGTCACATTTAGTGACGCACTGAAAAAAGGGTTTGGGACAGACCGTACATCATTTATGTTTTTTAAATAACGTAACATATAAAATCAGAATTTTGATGTTTGTTGAAGGTAAACTAAATTCACGAACAAATACTTACAATGTCGGGATAGTATTATGAGGTTTTTTTCCTGGTTTTTTCCCTCATAGTTTACTATGGAATCACTAACAGGAGAATTTTACTGTCATCATGTCATGTGTTTGTCTTTTTAAAGACGAATTATATGCTATGATTTTTTTGACGGATATTCTCAAGTTAAAGTTGATTTCATGTAATCGAATGAACTATCTTATAAGTAATGTCGTCCCAAGAGCGCAACTCAACAATATTGGCAATATCATTTTAAAGTCGTCTACTTTAAAATGCATAATGTATGTCTGAATTGTCAATATAAATGAGTCAGATAAAATTAAATTATTAGAAGAATTTTTCACTATGTAACAAAAAACAAAATTTGTTTAATTTACTGTTTGTATTTTGAGAACGATTTCCGAAGTGGAAATTGAAACGTTAATAAACGTATTTTTATCTTTAATTGTGGCTTATTCCCAGTTAAATCATTCAAGTTTCAGTGTAATATTCTAGCTTTCTTATGTTGGTTAGCAAAATATCCACTTGCTACCTCATGTCTTCTTTCTATTTTAAACCTGCGACTACTATTCTTTTATGAATGAATGTGTATCTTGTTTTTTATTCCATTTCATCCTACAATTGATCTATCACACTAGTAAACATCAAAACGTGTCCAATGGTTGCTTTCGACAGTGCTTTGGTGCTCTGAACCGTATGTTAGGACTGGGCGTATTATTGTTTTGTAGAGTTTTATTTTTGTATTTCTCGATTTAATTGTGGATTTATGGAGAATATTGAGACCAAAATAGCATCTCTTGGCCGTTCCCAGGTATACAAATTTGTTTGCAGCTTCGATAACGTCGTTTTATACATATACTTCATTTTATTGGCCTTTCAGTGATTTCCGTTTTCCCAACAATATTGATATCATCAGCATAGGCCAGGATTTGCATTGGTTTATTATATATTAAACCAGTGGTTGTGATTTATGTCATACGTATTACTTTTTCGAGAACCATATCGAATATTATACAGCAGAGAGGGTCTCCCTGGCGCAACTCGTTATTTCTTTTAAAAGGTTGAGAGAGTTTCCTCTGAATTCGTACTCTACATTTAACTTTTTCAAGAATTAGTTTTGTTAAATTTACCAACTGGTTTGGTATTGCTAGTTCTTTCATTTCTAACATTTCGCTTCTATTCACAGAGTCGTAGGCTGCTTTGTAGTCTACAAATATGTGATGAGTATCAATGCTATATTCCAGTGATTTTTTCAAAATTTCTTTCAGAGTTGCAATCTGATAAATTTTTCGATTTACCACCTCTGAATCCAGCCTGGTATTTTCCTACTATCCGTTCTGCATATGATGCCATGCGGTGACATAGTACTGTGGAAAATATTTTATACGCTTCATTTAGAAGCGTAATTCCTCTGTAATAAGATCATTCAAATATATCTCTATTTTTGTGTATAGTGCAAAGTATTCCAATATTCCAATCATTGGTGAAAGATTTCTGTGTCCTTATTTCTTTTATAAGCTGCTGT